TGTAACTTTCAAACTGTTTGTGCAATTTAAATACAATATTAGGAAAATTTGTTGAAAATAAAATAGTCAATAATTTTGTCAAATATTGTAATGACCTACAGCAACTCGGTATACTCTGAAACGTGTTGCAAACTTTAATACTCTAATTGTCAATTTATTTCCACATACACATCTTAAATCTTCTGTAACTTTTAAACTGTTTGTGTAATATAAATACAATTTTAGGAAAATTTATAAAATATAAAATTGTCAATAATTCTGTCTAATTTATAATATTTTAGAACATTTCAAAGTCCTACAGCAATTCGGTGTACTTTAAAACTGCATTTGAAAATTGTATAATAAAATAATTGCTCCTGAACTAGCTATACGTATGTGATTACTTATTAGGACCTTTATTTATTATATCGTCTGTAACTTTTAAACAATTTGTGTAATTTAAATACAATGTTAAGAAAATTTGTTCAATATAAAATAGTGAATAATTTTGTCAAATATTGTGATGACCTACAGCAACTCGGTATACTCAAAAATAGCCTCCAAAGCTAAGAAAATTATTATATATGTTAATAATAAATAATATTGCTATGATTTATAAATACTATTGCTATCATTTATTTTAATGCCAGAGTCGGAGTGTCATTTTAATTTCGAATAAATTAATATTCAAATTGGTGTATATATAATAAATACAAAGTCCTTTATATCTCAATTTATTTCCCAGACAAATTGCAAAGGATCCCCCAATATGCAAAATACGAGTATGTTATCATAAGAGGCTTTCACTTTCAGAGACGAAACTTTCGGTCAGTTTTCGACTTTAAATGTGATGAATTGCCTGAAATTCTTGTCTGGACAAATTTTAAATTGCATAAATTGAATCGGCTAGACTTTTAGAAAACCTATGGTAAATAATAGATAGTAATAGAGCTAAAAAGTACTTAAAAGTAGCCTAAAAAGTACTTAAAACCCTTGCAACAGAAACATTTTTGTTTAATATGCAAAAGTAATTGCATGCATTCAAATGTAATTTTAAAGTATACCGAGTTGCTGTAGGGTCTTATAATGTTAGACAATTTTATTCAGTATTAAATTTTGAACAAATTTTCTGAATATTTTATTTACATCAGACGAACTTTGTAGAAGTTACAAAAGATCATTGCATTCCTTTTGTTAGTCATAATAATTTATTAATATTCGGAAATAATTTATTCTAGATCGTTGAAGATTATTTTCATGATGTTTCATAATTTTTCTATTTCTGCAAGTTATGTAAATCTATCCTTTCCTAAAATCACGTTTCTCTTTTTATTTTCTGCGACAATAAAAAAATGATTTCCTCGACAATCGTCCCTGTTCCTTAACAATTGTCATCATCCTGACCCCGACAAAGACGTAACAAAAGTACACAAATTACGTCCTATGCACGTCCCTGGAATGACCCAGGGACGTCCCATCGGATAATCAGAATATTACGAAAGGGAAAAGTCACGTTTCGGCAACAAAATTGGGGAAAAACACACCTTTGGGGGTAATAGTTGCATGGAGATTGTTATTGAATATTTGTAATAATAGTTTATTATGTTAAAGATCTACTAAATTAAATTAAATCTAGTGTAACATTTATTTAAACAAATTTTCTAGAATGCAAGTGATTTTTATATTTTTTTATCAAAATCTTTTATTTTTTGGCTCGTGTCGTCATGAGCTAATGGAATTTCTGGCATGTGTGCTTCAAAAGACTTTCTTTTCGACTTTTCTTAGAGTGTTTCCTTTCTTAAAAGAATAAAAGTACTAAAGTATTCAAATAAAACTTTTATTATATTTATTGAGCGCTTTTTATATATGAAAGTAAAATTGGGTGGAGCGATCGTCTCGGGTAACGTATGGGGTGAATTTAATTTGTACTTTGTAAATAATATATATATATATATATATATATATATATATATATACTAGCTGACCCGGAAAATGCTGTTGTGCCATCAACAATATTTTGCCGCTTTGCAGAAGTTCTTATAATATACATGATATATTAATAATAATGTTCTATTTTTATTACACAAATTTCTTTACATTTTGATAATTAAATTCAACGCATCATAGTGTTTTGTTTATTTTAATTTTATTTATGTCAAATAGTGAAATATTTTTTAAATCAATGAATAAATTAGATTTTAGTCTGAATCAACGCAGTACCATTATCTGAATATATAAATATCAGATTTTTTACTTTTGTATTTAATTTAAAAATATTGAATGTCAATTTCATATATCCAATATGCACTAAATTTTTAAATGCCAAGATATTTCCTGTTTGGTCAAAATTTAATATAATATGATATAATTTATATCTATAATTTGATTGCCAATATTGCCTATAACTTAACTTGGAATAATTAATTTATTTGTATCTTATTGAAGTCGTTAAAAATTCTTTTTTTTTGAACTGTCAGAATTTTGTTTATGATTAATGTTAAATTTAAAATGTCGCTTTTTTATATTGATCTATAATGTTTTAATCACCTATCATATAAATTTTCGGCAATAAATTGATATTCATACTATCCCTGAAACTAACATGGATAAAGTTCTGAGAAATCCGAGTCCAAATCTATAAAATGTTTGATTTTTGGCACTTTTATTAATTTTTTATCAATTTTCGTATTGTAAAATATTGGATGATTATTTATCAAAATTGTAATATTTAGACTATAATTTTAGATGAATATACTATCTATTTTGGCATAGCAATTAGTTTTGTCTTTATTTGAAATCAAGTGAAACATAAATATATTTATTTGATATTTTTCCATAAATATCCGATTTATGACATTGTTTTCAATTATTTTTAATTTATTTTGAATTAGCAAATGTCAAAAAATATTATTAAAATATGCATTAAATATTGTCTATAAATAATATGTCATTTAATAAGTATTATTTATTACTTGATATGGATATGAATTTGTAATAAAATATATTCTTTCTGACAAATAGTTAAAACTTCCAAAATTAATTCACTCGTATCGTGGATTAGTCTAAATCAAGGCAGTATCTAAATATACAATTTTTTATATAAATATCAGATTTTTTACTTTTGCAATTAATTTAAATAGTTAATGTCAATTTTAAATATGCAATATGCACTAAATTTATAAATGTCTAAATATTTCCTTTTTGGTCGAAAATGATAGTATTTATTTTACAATAATGTTTTGTATCCATAATTTGTTAGGCAATATTGCCTATAACATAACTTGGAATAATTAATTTATTTGTTTTCTACTGAAGTCGTTAAACATTTTTTTTGTGAAATGTCAAATTTTTGTTTATGATTAATTTTAAATTCAATATGTCGCTTTTTTATTGTGATCTCTGATCTATAAGGTTTTGATGAAGTTTTGGTATCCGAAATAATTTGAATATTATATTTCAAATAAATATAAATTGTAAATCTATTTATATAATTATTTTCATAAATATTGACAAATGACATTTCACTTTTTTTCATGTCAACATTTATTTAAATTTATAAACATTGATTTTTAATTAGATTTAAAACTATAAATTGTGATTTTGAATATAGCATTTCATCTAATTTGGATATAAATGTTGGATATAGCTATATATGTACATGTTTTTGAATTATATTTTTTGAACTGTCAAATATTTTTTTTCAAAAATCATAAATCTTTTTTTCTCGAATTTTCCATAAATTTTGGCATTTGTCATTTTAGTGTTTTGTATTTTGGCTATTTTCTGTCAAAATTTTTAGAAATTTGTAAAAATTATATATTTATATTTTAAATTTACTTTTCAAAATTTCCTATAACCTAAGTTGGATAAATATGCACACACAAATTTAAAATATAAATATATAATTTTTACAAATTTCTAAAAATTTTGATGAGCGAAGAGCCAATAAAATTTAAAACCGGTTCAGTAGTTTGGGCGTCCATCGCGAACCAACATCGTGACACGAGATTTATATATATATATATATATATATATATATATATATATATATATTAACTATTACATCTATGCATGTATTTATACTCGTATATATCTCTATATATAATTAAATTTCCCCAAAGTGCCAACTTTTACCTTATTTTCGCCCTTTGTATAAGTTTGATTGGAAAACTAAGAAGTTTTCGCGAACGATTAATTTGTTTTCTGTTTCTGGAATGTTTCTTTCAATGTTCTATTAAATAGATTAAATCTGCAAGTTGCTTCTTTTGTTAATTTAATAATTGCATCTTGAGAAAATAACTTTTAAGAGAAATAATGTGGAATTTTTACAGAAAAGTAGAACAAATTAAACTAGTGGTGTATGGCATCGTGCCTTAAGGCAAATTGCTGGAACTTACCGTACCGTAATGAAATATTCGAGAAATTTATAAATATATTATTACAAATACTGTAACTTTCATTATTTTTGCTATCTTGTGATATCTGAGCAAATCAAATGTAGTAGTACTTTCAGCAAATAATTTAAATTTTAAATATCAAATATTAATTTTTTGTTTAGGAAATATTTTTTAAATTTAGAAAACACTTTCATCTATTGTATCGCATATATTTTTCTATTAAAACTTGTTTTTTTTGCAATACTTGCTGCAAAACGACTTATTTTTGCACTCAATATTGATGAAAAAAATACTTAAGGCCGCATTTAATTTTTTTTAATTTGTTATAGCAACATTTAGTTAATAAAAATATTTTTATAAATCAAAATAGAATCTTAGCTAAAGTTTACAATAAGTTTTAGAAAACTTTTTCATTGTAATTTATGTAATATTTTACAATTTCCTGAAGCAAGACTTTGATTTTATTCATTTGTAACTGCCACTTTGTATTTAATATTTGAGGTACTAAAAACCAACTTTTTGCGCAGCAAATATTTTTAGAATTTAGAACAAACATTCAACTATCTTATCCCTCAATTTTAACCACTATTTTCAACTAAAACTATTTTTTTTTTATTTTTCCAGCGACTGGATCTTCGGCGACTGGTATTGCACAATAAACAACTTTATTGCAAACGTGACGGTAGCTGCGAGCATTTTCACACTCACAGGCATCTCATTCGACAGGTGACACATTTCTGAATTTATATTTATTTTTGCATTTAAATTTCAAAATATTTCACAAAATTATATGACATATTATGTAATGGGAATTTGACGTATGTGTGCATATGTGTTGAAGAGGTTTTATGTATTTGGGGTGAAGATATACGGAGGAAAATAGATGGAGGAAAATTTGGGATTTTTTTTGGTTTTTGTTAAATAACTCAAAAATTTTATAAGAAACTACCTCTTTTCAGTTAGATATGGTGAAACTAAATACAATTTACAACATTTCCTAAGGAACACTTTTATACACTCCTATATAAAAATTTTGAATAAAACGACTTTGAATTTGATATTTCACTCTTAAGCAATCTTTTACGTTTTTGATATGAAAGTTCCTGATGCATATGACAAGGGTTGAAAAAAAATGTAAATAACATCCTTTAAACCCTTTTTATACAATATATAATATCAAATGCATAATATTTTATATTCTAGAATTTCAAAGACCAATTTTTCTGTTTGTCAATAAATAATATTTAAACTTATGTACTATGAGATTTTCTATTCTATTGACCTAAAAAGGGTTGAAAGGTTTAAGGGGTTTTATTAGGAATCGTAAAACTTATATGAGAGATATGATATTGTATGGGATACAAAGTGTTGAATGATATATATTTTTATATAAAATATATGAGGAAATTGTTGGGATTTTGATATTTATTAATATTTCAGTTTCATATTAGTGTTATCGGTTGCAGTTTTTTTCCACGATTAATTTGTTAAAAATATTTATAATATAACAATAGTATTATATATTGTTGATAAGCTTATAAAATTATCCACAAATCTGCATATAACGTTTTTAAATTTTTGGAAGAAAATTCTTGAGGAAAAATAAGTGAACTTCAAAACTTTTGTATCTAAATAGATTTCAAAGGTTACATTTTTTGTATTTATCAATATTTTATTCTAATTTTTTGGCGATCTTGTATATATGTTGTTATATATCGTTGGAAAGACTATAAAATTATCTACAAATCTGTATATAACAATTTGTATATGTTAGAACAAAATTATGTGAAAAAAATTGTTAAACTTTGACATTAAAATCTTTGTATGGTGTTCAAATTGCTTTAGCTTCAAAGCTTTGGTTTAAAGTTTTATTTATTTTATTCTAAATTTTTTGTATTCTTATATGTTGTTATATATCGTTGGAAAGTCTATAAAATTATCTACAAATCTGTGTATAACAATTTGTATATGTTAGAACAAAATTATATGAAACAAAATAGTTAAACTTTGACATTAAAATCTTTGTATGGTGTCCAAATTGCTTTAGCTTCAACGCTTTGGTTTAAAGTTTTATTTATTTTATTCTAATTTTTTTGTATTCTTATATGTTGTTATATATCGTTGGAAAGTCTATAAAATTATCTACAAATCTGTGTATAACAATTTGTATATGTTAGAACAAAATTATATAAAAAAAAATTTTAAACTTTGACATTAAAATCTTTGTATCGCGTCCAAATTGCTTTAGCTTGAACGCTTTGGTTTAAAGTTTTATTTATTTTGTTATAATTTTAATAAACATATTATTAGTATTATATATCGTTAGATAGCTAATAAAATTATCTACAATCACGTATATAATTCTGAAAAATACTTGGAATAAAATTTTCTAGAAAAAAATTGGGAAGCCAAAAAAAAGAATTTCCTTCTATGTTCTTTATCCAAACCCTCAGTGCACAATCTCATCTAACACCTAAATATGATTTTATGTTATTTCAACCTCTTTCAGACAATCCTCAAATTCTTTGTGTACCAAAAATATTTTGGCAAAGTAAACAAAAGTCCATCAAACAAATCTAATTAAGTGTATTTATTGATTAAATATCGAAAACACGTAAAATAAACAAGAAAAGTATATAAAAGGATTTATTCTATGCCAATAGGCCAATTTTTTGCCTGATTGAACACTTTCTATGGGAAATAACTTGTATATAGGTAATATAATATATATTGTGATTCACTTGGTTGGATTAAATGATTTTTTATCATTTGTGGACAGGGTAATGCTTATTTGGGGCTTGATATAAAACATATAATTCTGCTTTAGTACAAAAGTTTAAACCACTTTTCTAGACAATTTTGTTCCAAAATATTCAAAATTTTATACACTGTATTATAGATAATTTTATCAGCTTTCTAAAGATATATAACACCATTAATGTATTTATATAAACAGCAAAATAAATATAATTTCAAACGAAAGCATTAAAGTTAAAATCAGGCGCTCACACATACAGATTTCAATATTAAAGTTTAACAATTTATTTTTATATAATTTTTTTTCTAACAGTTATATGTTTTTAGATACAGATTTGTAGATTATTTTATAGACTTTTCAACGATATATCGCAATGTATAAAATCGTACATAAATCTGAGCATAATTATACTAAATATGATAAATGTAATCGATGAAATACACCCAGGGCAACTAATTTTAAATTTTATACATTTTTTTCAATTATTTATATATTTTTGTATTTATTTTATTACAAATAAAATGTAGCTGATAATTTTATCAGCTTTAAATCAAAAATTACTGTAATATACATAAAAATACTGTAATTTTATTGATAATATTCTAAACTTTGCAATGTACTAGATACCAATTATTTGGACATACTAAATCGCACTGCATTTTATTTTATTATTATTTTGGAATTTTAGTACAAAAAATATTGAAAAAATGTTAAAAAAAAGATTGCAACATTACTCTTTATTCTTGTTGTATTTTCATGAGTACATTTGCTTTTATAAAAAATTATTTTGGACACTTTTGTAATGCATTTTTATTATTATTAACACTATACATAAAATATATTTTTTAAACAACATAATTTAAAATAAATATTCTAACACAATTTGAACTTTTTTATAAATTTTTCATTAATTTTATTATCTGACGTCACAAGAAATATTACTATCAACTCAGTTTACAATATATAAACACTTTTCACACATTTCAAATAGGTTTTTTGTACTGTACACACGAATTTAAACTTTTCCAAGAACTTTTACTGTCGCAAACAGAATATTATATTTTGTTGAAGTTGAAAATAAGTTAGATGTATGAGAAGTAGCACTTTACTTATATAAAGGAGTTGCTAACATATGTAAAAGTGTCTTTGAAAAGTTTTAACGCACATTTTACTCCATATACATCTCAGAACATGTTGTAAATTATTTTAATAATATATCCAGACATTTATATATAGATCTGTACATATATGTTTGAGTATCAGAAGATGAAGATATCATGTTGAATATTTTTTTAAAATTGCACTGGTTTTGCTAAAATGCTGTAACTTGGTTATAGTGTACTTTAATATGTCTACTTTTACAGCAAATTTTAAAATTACTAAATATTTAACTGGGTTGTCTGAAATATACATTTGTTATGCAAACATGCACAAACTTTTGGTATGAGTATCTAGTTGTTTTTAGATTTTTTTTATAACACAGTATCAATTTTATTTGATGGTACTTTTGCCTTCATTGACATTTCCACCTGTTTTTTTTATCTGAAGGCAATATTATCCTATTCTTCAGGTTACAAAATGCTATTTTAATACTTGTGTTATCATTTTCAATATTGAAAGTTTTCACATTGCACAAAGATTTATTTTTCCATCATATTTTCGATAAGATATATGTAAAAAATTATGTACTACTTTGACTTTTGTTTACTTTGCCAAAATATTTTTTGTACACAAAGAATTAGAGAATTGTCTGAAAGAGGTTGAAATAGAATAAAATCATATTTTGATGTTAGATGAGATTGTGCACTGAGGGTTTCGATAAAAAACATAGGAAGATATTCTTTTTTTTTGACTTTCCAAATGACTGAATATTTATTCCTAGACAATTTTATTTCAAGAATTTGAAAGAATTGTATATGTGATTGTAGATAATTTTATTGGCTATCTAACGATACTAATAATAAGTTCAATAAAATTATAACAAAATGAATAAAACTTTAAACCAAAGCGTTGAAGCTAAAGCAATTTTGACACCATACAAAGATTTTAATGTCAAAGTTTAATAATTTTTTTCATATAATTTTGCTTTAACATATACAAATTGTTATATACAGATTTATAGATAATTTTATAGACTTTCTAACGATATATAGCAACATATAAGACCATAAAAAATTTAGAATAAAATTTAGAATATAACTTTAAACCAAAGCGTTGAAGCTAAAGCAATTTGGACACCATACAAAGATTTTAATGTCAAAGTTTAACCATTTTTTTTATATAATTTTATTCTAACATATACAAATTGTTATACATAGATTTGTAGATAATTTTATAGACTTTCCAACGATATATAACAACATACAAGAACACAAAAAATTAAAATAAAACTTTAAACCAAAGCGTTGAAGCTAAGGCAATTTGGACATCATACAAAGATTTTAATGTCAAAGTTTCACTTTTTTTTCATATAATTTTGTTTTAACATATACAAATTGTTATACGCAGATTTGTAGATAATTTTATAGACTTTCCAACGATATATAACAACTATAAGAAGACAAAAAAATTAGAATAAAATATTGATAAATACAAAAAATGTAACCTTTGACTATATCTATTTAGATAAAAAAATTTTGAAATTCACTTATTTTTCCTAAATAATTTTTTTCCAAAAATATAAAAACGTTATATACAGACTTGTGGATAATTTTATAAGCTTTTCAAAAATATATAATACTATTGTTATATTATAAATATTTTTAACAAATTAATTGTGAATATAAATAAAGTGCTACCGATTAAACTAATATGAAACTGAAATATCAATAAATATCAAAATCACAACAATTTTCTCATCTACATCTAACAACTTCTAAAATTATCATCCCCATTAATTCCAAAACTCAGCACATTGTTATCAATACAAAATCATCCACAAATGGGCAAACTTTGCCCACAAATTTCAATACGTTGCACATGTTATCTTCAGCTGAATTATTGTATGAATATACAGTGTAAACCACAAAAGTTATATAATACATAAAATCCACGTTATAAGGATAATAAAAATATTGCAATATTTATTTTAACATTTTTTGTACTAGAATTCTGAAATAATAATAAAATAAAATACAATGCGTTTTAGAATGTCCAAAAAATTGGTATCTAGAACATTGTAAAGTTTATAAAATTATTTGAAGTGCCTTTCAAGTTGTTTTCTTTTTATAAGAATATGAAATTTGTTATGTCTATTTTAATGATTTTTTGTTATTTTTTAGGTACATGGCCATAGTGAGGCCCCTAGAACCAAGAATGTCGAAAAAATGCTCCTTGTTAGCTATAGCTGCCATTTGGTTAGCTGGAATGATTTTGGGAATACCCTGTCTTATGTATTCCAGCACTGTAGTTTACAAGTAAGAAAAAAAAACAAAAAACATATAAAAAATATTTAATTAATTTAATAAGAATTTTATAAAGAGTTCTCATTAGATTCTTATTTAATTCGAGCTAAATTCTTATAAGATTCTTTTCAAGTTCTTAATAGATTTTTATAAGATTTTTATTAATTTTTTATTAGTTTTATTAACTTAGTTTTGAATTGAAACTATTATATTTGTAATATATTTACAAAAAAGATTATTTTTTGACTAGACTCTTATTTAATTTGAGCTAAAATCTTATTAGTTTAAGTTTTTTTAACTTAGTTTTGAAACTATTATATTTGTAATATATATTTTTTTAATTATTATTATGTGATTTTTAGATAATTTTATAGACTTTCCAACGATATATAACAACATATACGAATACAAAAAAAATAGAATAAAATAAATAAAACTTTAAACCAAAGCGTTGAAGCTAAAGCAATTTGGAAACCATACAAAGATTTTAATGTCAAAGATTAACCTTTTTTTTTCATATAATTTTGTTCTAACATATACAAATTGTTACACACAGATTTGTAGATAATTTTATAGACTTTCCAACGATATATAACAACATATACGAACACAAAAAAAAATAGAATAAAATAAATAAAACTTTAGACCAAAGCGTTGAAGCTAAAGCAGTTTGGACACCATACAAAGATTTTAATGTCAAAGTTTAACAATTTTTTTTCATATAATTTTGTTCCAACATATACAAATTGTTATACACAGATTTGTAGATAATTTTATAGACTTTCCAACGATATATAATAACATATAAGAACACAAAAAAATTAGAATAAAATGAATAAAACCTTAAACCAAAGCGTTGAAGCTAAAGCAATTTGGACACCATACAAAGATTTTAATGTCAAAGTTTAACAATTTTTTTTAACTATTATATTTGTAATATATATTTTTTTAATTATTATTATATTTTTAGTGAAAAATACCATTTAACAGCCTGTATACTAGTCTGGCCTGATGGATCTTCAGATGTTTCCAAAATGGATTACATGTAAGTATAATAAAATCATTCAAAGAACTTCATGTAATTAAAATTAACATACATTTATTGACTGCTTGTATTTTTTTACTTTTTTGCTGGCGATATAATCTCAGTCTTTGGACAGCTGTAATATCTGTCTTGCCTAAAAAATATTTTTCATTTCAATAACTTCAAAGATTTATAGAAACTACGAATAATATAGGAATAATTTCTAATCAATAAACTTACGTTTAGTACAAGGCACAAATGTTTAATTTGTTAAATTATTTTCAAGGAACAGGGTAAAATATAATACAGGGTTAAATTTTTAACCCTGAAACATTGTTTTTTATATAAATTATATTTAAATTGGTTTGACACTTTAGTAGATGTAATAGGTATTTGAGGTATGAGTATATCTTTACCACAAAACTTGCTTTTTAAAGAATTTTATCAAAGTTTCTCACAAACATCCAACTTAACATAATTTATTTTGTAACGTCAGGAAAACATAAAATTCTTATCATACATCTCCTATCAAAAGTTTCGTCAATAACTAATTACATATATTTATTTTTTGTCTGTGAAAAGTTTCTTTTCCAGAAGAACAAAAGTTTTATTTAACAATTTCCATATTTAAAAGCTAAATCAATGCAAATTTTGCTCCATTGTCAAGCATTCGCACATTTTGCTAAAAATTTGCATTTAAAGTATTCGAACATTATTCTTTAGTGAAAGAAAACTTTATGAATTGGAAAATTAAAAAGTTTTTTGCATCATAGAGGCGATAAAAACACGTGGCATATAAAATTGTCATTTATGGGAAAAAATTATGCAAAATTTGCAAAATATTAGAGAACTAGTGGGGCACGTGGCATCGTACCTTGAGGCAAGTTGCTGGAACTTCCCGTACCAAAAATTATTATTTTTTTAAAAACAATTAACATTTTTGAAAAAAATTTACTTCGAAAAAATTAGATTTTCAAGAAACTATAAATTTGACAAAAAATACTTTTTTTGAAAAAAAAATGTTTTTTTTTATTTTGACATATTTTGGAAATTCTGAACTTTTTTTCAAAGCAATCGTACTGCTTTATCTGCATAGAGACGGAATATCGAATCGCGTAAGCGCCGCATCGCCGTCTCACAGATAAACATTGGTACGGAACCCATAGGAATGTAAACAAAATTCATACTTATTGTTAAAATCTCTATAAAATATCTGATAATTTGATGTGCATATGTCTAATGATCATTTTTGACCGCCAAATGGCATTTTTTGTTACTTTTTTATTAGATTTCCGAAACCGCTAGACCTGCCTTCATGAAAATTTAATCAGTTCTTCATCTTGTCAATACAAGTAAAATGTTTTTTTGAATTATTAAAATCGGACGCTCCGTTCTCTTAAAAACAGAGTTATCGTTTTCGGCACTTTTTGCCCCGTATCTTCGGAACGGCTAGACCTGCCTTTGCCAAAAACTAATCAGCACGTCTCCTTATCAATACGAATCGAATGTTTTTTGAATTATTCAAATCGCTTCATCCGTGTTCCCGAAAGTGTCGACGAAAATTTGTATTCGAACACACACATACACGCACACACACACATACATCCATTTTTTCTAAGGTATGCCAAAATGTTTAGAAACCTCTGAAACGTAAAGATATATAAAAATTTTCATTTTCGATTTTTTTGCGATTACTATAACTTACCCTACGGGAAGTTAAAAATTATGCAAAATTTGCAAAATAATAGAGAATAAAATTTTGTTCCATCAAAATTAGCCTAGTAGTTTAGATTTTACAAAATATCTTCTTAAAGTTTCAGTAATAATGTAGACATTTCATTTTTCTCATTCATAATCATACATTTATTATGCATATTCTAATATTGTCTAGGTTCATAAGTAAATTGAAACGTTTGGCAGATGATAGTTTTTATTTGTTTTCAATGCAAACAATAACATGTCGTTTTTTGCATTTTTTTTCTATTTATTTCTACAAAATTGCACATACATCCCAGTACTTTATAATCACATACATCCTAAAAAAATTCCTTAATAAACTTTAGAAAGATTTATCAAAATCCGAATAATTGTTTAGGAGGAGTATACAGTGAGTGCTTGTAATTTAATATAAACTTTTTAAATTTCTTCTTAATGTTTCAATAATAATGTAGACATTTCATTTTTCTTATTCATAATCATAAATTTATTATACATATTCTAATATTGTCTAGGTTCATAAGTAAATTAAAATTTTTGGCAGATGATAGTTTTCATTTGTTTTCAATGCAAACAATGACATGTCGTTTTTTGCATTTTTTTACATTTATTTCTACAATATTGCACATACATCCCAGTACTTTATAATCACATACATCCTAAAAAAATTTCCTTAACAAACTTCAGAAAGATTTATCAAAATCCGAATAATCGTTCAGAAGGAATATACAGTGAATGCTTGTAATTTAATATGAACTTTTTAAATCTTTTCTTAATGTTTCAATAATAATGTAGACATTTCATTTTTTTCATTCATAATCATAAATTTATTATACATATTCTAATATTATCTAGGTTTATATGTAAATTGAAATTTTTGGAAGATGATAGTTTTCATTTGTTTTCAATGCAAACAATGACATGTCGTTTTTTACAATTTTTGCCATTTATTGCTACAATATTGCACATACATTCCAATACTTTATAATCACAAACATCCTGGAAAATTTCCTTAATAAACTTCAGAAAGATTTATCGAAATCCGCATAATCAAGTCATTTTGTTGTCAATTCAGCGCACTAGATTGAAAAGAAAGTTGCCACAAGACCTCATCTAGTCCAGTTAAACCTAATTATTATTATTATTTTTTTTATGTCATATTTGATTGTTTGTTTTTCTTATCGTTTTGTTTTTTTTTTATTGTCTTTCTTTTCTTTTTTTATTTATTTTTTTTATTAATATGTGTTATATATACCTAGTAGACACGCCTATGTTGCTACTATCTTCTGGCTTATATTATAAGATAATTATTGTTAACAATCTCTGCTTAATGTTAATGTAAAACAGATTGCAGAATAAATTTAATAAAAAATTAAAAAAAAATCTTGTTGTCAATTTACTATTTTTTTTATCATTTTTCTAGTTATCAGGTTGTCCTGTTCATAGTGACTTATCTAATGCCTATAGCAGGGATGTCCAGATGCTACTGGGCAATGGGCAGAGAATTGTGGGGCAGCAGGTCAATTGGGGAACACACACAAAGACAGGCTGATGCCATTTGCAGAAAAAGAAAGGTCAGAAAAAGTAGAAATTATGATAAATCTAATGATTTTTGAATCATAAAAATCGGTTAAGGCGTTGCCGAGATATCCACAAAATCCCAAAAAAACATCTTGTGATAGTAAAAAATTAGTTTTGTGGATCTTATATATAAAAATGAATCGCAAAATGTGTTGGTAAGCGCATAACTCAACAACACCTGAACCGATTTGGCCAATTCTTTTTTTAAAATGTTCGTTGAAGTCCAAGGATGGTTCTTACGGCTAGAAAAAATCGACTAATTGACGGGAAAAGCCTAAAAACAGCCCTTTTTTTCTCATACAAAACGTAGAGTTAATTTGAGCTTTACTGCTCTTATATAAAGTTCATATTAAATTACAATCACTCACTGTATACTCCTTCTAAACGATTATGCGGATTTTGATAAATCTTTCTCAAGTTTGTTAAGGAAATTTTCTAGGATGTATACGATTGTAAAGTAGTGGTATGTATGTGCAATATTGTAGAAATTAATGTAAACTAGTGGTTTATGGCATCGTGCCTTAAGGCGAATTGCCGGAACTTCCTGTACCGTAATGAAATATTCGAGAAATTTTAAACGTTTTCAAATATATTATTACAAATACTGTAACTTTCATTATTTTTGCTATCTTGTTATTGATCTGAGCAAATCAAATATGAATCATAAATCAATTTATCATTAAAGTCCCTTTTCTTGTATTTTAATTTTTACTTTGCCTGTCAGTAGAGTCACTTTTTCCTATTTTCCATTTGGTTTTTACTTTGCTCGTCAGTAGATTCCTTTTTCTTGTTTTTGAAATTGAAATTCACATTGCTCGTCAGTAGAGCCCTTTTTAAAAAGAAATTTAAATTTCACTTGGCTCGATAGTCAAGTCCCTTTTCTTCTATTTTAATTTGAATTTTACTTTGCTCGTAAGTAGAGTCCTTTATCTATTTTAATTCACATTTCACTTTGTCAGTAGAGTCCTTTTTAAAAAGAAATTTAAATTTTACTTAGCTCGATAGTACAGTCCCCTTTCTTCTATTTTAATTCGAATTTTATGTTGCCCGTCAGTAGAGTCATTTTTCTTCTATTTTAATTTGCATTTCACTTTATCAGTAGAGTCCTTTTTCTTGTATTTGAATTTGAATTTCACATTGCTCGTCAGTAGAGTCCTTTTTAAAAAGAAATTTAAATTTAACTTCCTTTTTTCCTATTTTCAATTTGATTTTTCTTTGCTCGTCAGTAGAGTCCTTTTTCTTCTGTTTTATTTTGAATTTTACTCTGGTCGTCAGTAGAGTCCTTTTTCTTGTATTCGAATTTGAATTTCACATTGCTCGTCAGTAGAGTCGCTTTTCTTATTTTCAATTCGAATTTTACGTTGCTCGTTAGTAGAGTTGCTTTTCTTGTTTTCAATTTGAATTTTACTTTGCTCCTCAGTAGAGTTCTTTTCTTCTATTTCAATTTTGAGTTTCACTTTGCTCGTCAGTAGAGTCCCTTTTATATTTTTATTAGAATTTCACATTGCTCGTCAGTAGAGTCGTTTTATTTCAAATGAGAATTAAATTTTACATTGCTTGTTAGTAGAGTCCTTTCTTCTGTTTTAAATTTAACTTAGTCTATCAGTAGAGTCCTTTTTTCCTATTTTTATTTCCAATTTCACTTTATATTTGAATTTTAATTTTACTTCGCTTGCTAGTAGAGTCATTTCTATTTTAATTTGAATTTGACTTTGTTCTTAAGTAGAGTCCCTTTTTCTATTTTAATTTCAATATTACTTTGTTAGTCAGTAGAGTCCCTTTTTTCTATTTTAGTTCGGATTTTACTTTACTCGTCAGTAAGGTTCCTTTTCTTGTATTTTTTCTTGTTCTCTTTTTATTTGAATTTCACTTTGTTTGTCAGTAGAGTCCATTTTCTTGTATTTTAATTTGAATTTTACTTTGCTCGACTGTAGAGTCCTTTTTTAAAACGAGAATTAAAAATCCTATTGCTCGTCAGTAGAGTCCTTTTTTAAAATAAAAATTAAGTTTTACATTGCTCGTCAGTAAATTGTTTTTTTTTCACATTTTTCACACAATTGGAAAAGTGCTCCAGTGCATAAACAGTCTAAACGCACTTGGGTAAACATTTGTATCAGAGTGGCGCTTAGACTGTGCTTAGCCTGGGTAATTTTTGAGTTTTTAATCAAAATTTACAAAAATATTTCATGAAAAATAAAAAAAGATGTAATAATTTTTTATCCTCAAAAGCAATTGTTTCGTCAATACAAGCAGAAACTTTTTTAGATCATTCAAATCGGACGCTTAGTTCATTCAAAAACTGCCATTTTTGCACATTTAGCTCTGTATCTCCGAAAGCGCTGAGCCTACATTTGCCAAAACCTAATCACCTCTTCTCCCGATCATTACAAATTGAATGTTTTTTAGATCATTCAAATCCGATACTCCGTTTTCTCAAAAACTCGATTTGTATTTTCTGCACTCTTTGCTCCGTATCTCCGTAACGGCTGGACCTGCCTTTCCCAAAAACTAATTAGCACATCTCTCTATCAATAGGAATCGAATGTTTTTTGAACCATTTAAATCGGTTGATCCATGCGCCCGAAAACGTGGACGAAAATTTGTATCCATACATACATACACACACATCCATTTTTTCTGAGGTATGCCAAAATGTTCAGAAACCTTCAAAACGTCGAGAAATGCAAAAATTTTCATTTTCGATTTTCGGCTCATTACTATAACTTACCCTACGGGAAGTTAATAAACAGACAAAATCTACTTCAATTTTACCACAATTGTTTTTTTTTTAGGTTGTCAGGATGTTCGCAGCCGTCGTGGGCATTTTTGCAGTCTGCTGGCTGCCTTATCAGCTCTATTTTGTCTACATGCACGTCGATAAATCGCTGATGTACTGGCCTTATACCCAGCAAATGTATCTGAGCTTTTACTGGTTAGCCATGGGTAATGCAATGGTTAATCCAATAATATATTACTGGATGAACAACAGGTAACCACTAGGGTTTATACAAAAACCGACATTTCAGAAAACCGGTTTTCGAATTTTATTTTTACTAAAAAGCCGGTTTAAACCGGTTTTCGAATTTTATATAGAAAATAAATTTTTGCTCGAATATTCTATAATTTATCCGCAAATTTAGTGTAATTTAGAGTAGTATTTAACTGAATTTATTTATTGTTTAATTTTATAGATAGTAAACAAATTATTTTAATTTTAATCCGTAGAACTAAAAAATAATAGTTTATCTTGATTAAATAACTTTGAAAATAATTATTCGTTATTCATGCATCATTTTCACATATAAGAATAAAAATATTTTTATGAAAGTGAAAGGAAAGTTTTCGAATAAATTAAAATAATACATTTTCAAATAAAAAAAAAAATCATTAAATAAAAAAATAAAAAAATATTAGATCCATGTTGATACATACTTGTTAATATCAATTTTAGTTTGAAAAACAATTAAGCTAAACTTTTATTTCTGTTCCGAGCAGTTTTAATTAATTAATTTTAAACATTCTAATTGTTTTTCGTTTAGTAAAATATGATTTAAATAAACTTAGAACGTCCATCGAATTGCTACTTAGACGTGTCCTTTGTTTGCTCACAAAATTTCCTGAAATATAAAATACTCTTATACTTGCGACCAAATTATGCTTAATTGTTTTTAAAGCCTGATATAATAATTCTAGGTTTTTTGTTCTTTAATTTGTGGCTTCTAGGGTTTAAAACTCTTTTTTTAGTTTGAGTAGAGAAAGTTACTTCTTCAAGAAGGAGTCACACTGATTTAAATTAATATATACACTGGTATAAAAATCTAAATTAATATATACAAAACCTTTCTGGGAATCATTGCAGATTGATAAGATATCAAATGCTATTGAAACGATATGATTTCCAAAATCAAAACGCTTTCATCTATCTTTTATATTTGGCTATATTTGTCATTTTTAATTTATACAGTAAAAACCGACTTTTTTCACTAAAAAACCGGTTTTCGAATTCCATAATTTTCGCCAAAAAACCGGTTTTTTAAACCGGTTTTTGAAAACCTACAAACCCTAGTAACCACAAAGAATTATATAAGAATTGAAGGTTGTCGTTACAATGAGGGAATTTAATGTAATTTTTGTTACAGATTTCGAGCTTATTTCAAAAGGGCTGTTTGTGGGCCCTTGCTGGTGTGCAGATTGACAAGTGCAGATCCTGGTAATACTGATAGTCCTGGAGGACTTGCCAGGGCTCACTCGTACTCCCAAAGTAAGCAATTAAAGAATTAAATATATATATATATATATATATATATATGTATATATATATATATATACATATATATATATATATTTTAGCTAGTATATATATATATATATATATATATATACTAGCTGACCCGGCAAACGTTGTTTTGCTAAGTAAGGTATATTCTAAACAATTTCTAGAGAATCAAATATATTAATACTTTAAGTGTATAAGAACGATATGCTGTTTGAATGATATATACAATTAGGTATTATAAAAACAATAAACCCCATTAGTTTGTGTATATTTTGTTAATACAATCAAACTGGAAGTTTTATACGCTTTCTATCAAAAACATGGTATAATCTAATCCAAGTCTTTTTTGGTCTTTCGACTTATTGATTACGTTTCAAGTTTTTCAGATTCTTTTTGGATTCTGGATTTTGTGTATAATTGTAAATAATACTACTGAGCTTATACAAAATTTTCAAATTTCTGCGAGGAGAGATAGAAAATGAATTAAGTATTTCTTCTTTGACCTGCTTTTTGAAAAGTTTCAAGTAACATTCGATGAATTAAAGTAAATTTAATAATAAGTATATATGTAGAGCAGGGCGAGGCACAAAGGTCCAATTTGACTTTGAGCAAATATAAACTATATTGTGAAAACCATAACAATTATATCAAAACAAATAACACATTTCAAACGAACAATTATCTGACTACGTTCAGTAAAACTGCCAGCTACTTCATCATTGTAGAAATGTGCAGTTTTGATGTCTTTCAAAAATTTATTATCTGGACCTTTTTACCTTGTAAGCGGGGTAACTTGAAACGGCCAGTTGGCAAAAAGTTTCAATGTCTTAATTTAATTTTAAAGGTATTTTACAAAATAATTACATTTTTAACTAATGCTAAAAAACAACCAAAAGAAGCAAATATTTTTATTATGGATTTTCAAAAATTACCATTCATCTCCTGATTTCAAAATCATGAGAATCAAGATTATGGCTTGTTATACATCTTTTTTCCTCTACTTTCAAATATTGTTGTTAAACAATGCTTAACTTTACTGTTTTTTAACACATTGATGGTGGACCTTTTTAACCCCGCACCTTCATATATTACTATCTATTCTTCAATAAATTCTGGGAAATTATAACTGAGATAATGTTATTCGACAAAATGTCCATTTGATCGATACCAAATTTAGGTTCTGAATTTAAATAACATAAATAAAAAATAATATAACCTAGAAAATGTTTTATAAATACCAATGAGTATATAATTATACAAATGAGATCTTTCAGAGCACCGTGTTTGAGAAAAATATGCCAAAAAGTGCATTTTCTTATTAACATTTCAAAAAAGTTGATATTTTGAGTTTCTAGTAACATTTGCGGTCCGTTTAATAACGTTTTTGTATATAAATAAAACTTGAAACAAAACTACTTGCTACAATTTAATCATAATTAAATAATATTCACGTAAAACATCCTATTAAACGTAATTGAACAACATGTGTCAAAAACGTTTGACATTTGACGTATTAGCCACCGTCCATTGTTTTATTTACATTGCGCTTCTACAAAAATGTTCAAATTATAAATGTAAAGTTTCTACGCGATTCTGAAATATTATCTCACCTTTCCGACCATCTCTGGCTTGAGACGAATTTTTTAAGACTAAGGCCGGCCAAATCGGTTTAGCCGTTTTCGAGTTTTACCGAATCATTTGACCGAGAGCGCTATTTATATATATATATATATATATTATATATATATATATATATATATATATAATATATATAATCCATCTTTGTGTCCTTTTTTCAGGTGGTGAAGCGATTTTCAACCCCCATTTCAACCATACACCACGTCACAATGTGCACCAGCATCTGCACAACCGTGACAGTTTCTTCCCTAATGGCAAATCAGAGTCGCCATCTAGCGAACGTTTCTACCTCCGGAGCAGTTCGAGGTTTCGCAAAACTCCGCAGGATGGCGACTTGTATTTCAGCAGAGATATAACTCTGGCCAAAGATCGATTGAAATCGGACAGCAGTGATGGCACAATCGCGGTCTGCTTGGAGAAAAATCTTACAAAGATGCAGACGGAATTATGACCGAGGAAATAAGTGGTTGTGATGATAAAGGTTTCATTGTTGATAAAAAATAAAAGGTTTGTTTGTAAATGATTTTATTCATGTTTTTGTCTCGGGGATTAATAAATATTTGATTATTTTATGGTGGTGTTTTGTAAATTATGATTGGTTATTAATTAGTAAATAGAAACTGAAACATCAACAAAGTTTATACGAAAAATAAAAATAAACTATTTCTGTAAAAAATATGTAGAAGTCCTTAGCAAGGTTTATTCGATTCATTAAACTATTTTTTTAATTATTTTTTTGCTAAACATATTTAATTTATTTAAAAATCTATAAACAAAGTAGTATAGTTAAATTCTACTGGCAAGTTGCTTTTATATAACAGATCAACTTTGAATAAGATTATAATAAAAAATATAATTTTATACCAAACTAGTAGTGTATGGCATCGTGCCTTAAGGCAAGTTGCTGGAACTTCCCGTACCGTAATGAAATATTCGAGAAATTTCAAACGTTCTCAAATATATTATTACAAATACTGCAACTTTCATTATTTTTGCTATTTTTTGTTATATCTGAGCAAATCAAATGTAAATCATGAATCAATTAATTTATCTCCAGAACATTAACAATCGTCATTTCATTCGAATTCAATTTCAAAAATAATAGTTGCCTAATGAAAAAGACACAAAATTGAAAAAGTGCTCCTGTATAGTCACAGTCTAAACGCATTAGCAAATAATTCTGTGCGACATTTTCACTTTTACTGTGCTTAGCTTGGCGGCATTTCACATTTTTCAATAGTTTTCATGAAATTGGAAAAGTTCTCCAGTGCATAAACAGTCTAAACGCACTTCTGATTGTCAGTATAGTCCCTTTTTCTAATATTCTCAATTGCTCGTTAGTAGAGTCCCTTTTTTCTCTTTGTATTTTTATTTGCAGTAGAGTTTTTTTTCCTAATATTTTTATTTGCTCGTCATTTTATTTTCCATAAAATATTTTTGTAATTATGGATTAAAGATTCAAAAAATTACCCAGCCTAAGCACAGTCTAAGCGTCACTCTGGTACAAATGTTCATCCAAGTGCGTTTAGACTGTTTATGTCGTGCACTTTTCCAATTTTGTGAAAACTATTGAAAAATGTGAAAATGCCGCAAAGCTAAACGCAGTGTAAGTGAAAATGTCGCACAGAATTACTTGCAAATGCGTTCAGACTGTGACTATACACTGGGAGCACTTTTTCAATTTGGTGTAAATTAGGCAAATATTTTTTTTTAAATTGAATTAGAAATGAAATGACGATTGTTAATGTTTTGGAGATAAATTGATTTATGATCTACATTTGATTTTTTAATTTTTTTTATGCTAAACTTATTTAATTTATTTAATAATCCATAAACAAAGTATTGTAGTTAAATGCTACTAGCAAGCTGCTTTTATTTACCCAATGAATTTTAATTAATAATTTTAGTTCAAATCCTACTGGAAAGTTTATATCACAGATCAACTTTGAATAAGATTATAATAAAAAATATAATTAACTTCCCGTAGGGTAGTTATAGTAATGGGCCGAAAATCGAAAATGAAAATTCTTGCATTTCTCTACGTTTTGAAGGTTTCTGAACATTTTGGCATACCTCAGGAAAATGGATGTGTGGTGTGTGCGTATGTGTTTTGTATGTCCGCATTTTATTCATTCAATTCATTAATTAGATAATCATTTAACCATTATCAATCAAATGCAAAAAAACACATCAATCCGGTTCTACTATTAAAACAAATTAATAAATTTGTATGGCTAATACTTTGAAATGCTAAATTATTTGCGCATTTGTTATTATTTCTCTTGTAAGTTTCAAACAGTTTGTCTAATTTAAATGAAATATTAAAACAAATTTGTCAAAATTAAATGGCTCATAGGTATTTTGATATTATAATTCATTCCAGCAACTCGGTATACTTTAAAATAGCGCTTAAACAATAGATAAGCGTCCCCAAATCAATATAGCAAATACTATTTCAATTTAAATTGTTTTTAAATCGTAAACCATTTATTAATACAAAGTTGTATTTAGTAATTAGTTGTAGTTTACTGCTTTCATCCACCTAGTTTTGTCATATAAAATAAAAACAGAAAATATTGAAGTAACGCTTACCATGCATAACCGAGCTAAGTAAAAATGTATGAGAAAGCGTTGTGTTAGGTTCGACGACATGGTAGAGTTTATATTAATTTCCGTACTTACTACTTAAACAATGGGCCGAAAATCGAAAATGAAAATTTCTGCATTTCTTGACTATTTGAAGGTTTCTGAACTTTGGCATACCTCAGAAATAATGGATGTGTGTGTGTGTGTGTGTAAATTCAAAAAATCACCCGGCTAAGCACAGTCTAAGCGCCACTCTGGTACAAATGTTCACCTAAGTGCGTTCAGACTGTTTATGGACTGGACCATTTTTCCAATTTTGTAAAAAAAACTATTGAAAAATGTGAAAATGCCGCCAAGCTAAGAACAGTATAAGTGAAAATGTCGCACAGAATTATTTGCAAGTGCGTTTAGACTGTGACTACACGGGAGCACTTTTGCAATTTTGTGTAAATTAGGCAACTATTTTTTTTTTTGAAATTGAATTCGAAATGAAATGACGATTGTTAATGTTCTGGAGATAAATTGATTTATGATTTACATTTGATTTGCTCAGATATAACAAAAGATAGCCAAAATAATGAAAGTTACAGTATTTGT